ATTCCTGTCTCAGGTCTTGTGTTACAGCAACAGAAAATGGACTCAGACATCGTGGGCCCCTCGTTCTTGGTCACTGCCCTGGTAGTGGTCACCCGACACTGTCCGTGCCCGTGGCCAGGGTGGCAGCGTTTTTTTTCTGGTGGACACCTTCCTCCCAGCAAGAGCAGTCGGCCGCGGGCCGGCCAGGACAGATCTCAGCCCGCAGCCCTGCTCTGAGGGGTAAGGAGTGTCTGTTCCCTCCCAGCTCACCGGACTCGGGTGAGGACAGAAAAAACTCGCAGGAGGGCACTGCAGTGGGCAAAAGTCCTGCCTGGACACACTGGAGAATGAGGAAGGAGCGCGTTCATGCCCACCCTCAGCACCGTTCAGTGGACAGAGTATCTGAGAACCGACGTCGAATCCCTTCACTGTTTTCTCTGTGTTTCTCTGCAGCCCCGAAATTTTCCATGCTGAGCCGGCCTCACGTTCTATGTCAAAGCCCTGAACAGGAGCTGAAGAGCCCCCACCCCCACCCCACGCTGCCGGCCTCCCACCGAGGGCTGGAAGCCACGCCTCTGTGGTTCACTGGCTCCTGCCCTGACGCAGCCAAGGCTCCAGGCAGCCACGGCCAGTGCCAGGCGTATCACTTCCACATTTGGCTGTGGCTTCCTTCCCCTACGAGTGAAACGGGAAAGGAGTGACCACTGCTTCTTATTTAGGACACTGCCTTTGGCAGCCTAGACTTGGAGGGGACTGTCTCGCTGCTGCCAGCGAACAGCCTTCAATTATAAGTTTAAAATAGCCCCAGCCGGTCTCCCTAGTTCCCGGCCACCTCGGGAGTCAGCAGTAGCAGGGGTGGGGGTGGGGGCCTGAGCTGCTCCAGCCTTCCGCTCAGCATCAAGGCTGCACTAGCAGCTCGGGGCCTGCCTGCTCCTGGTTCATACAAAGGACCCTTCGGAATCAATGAGTATGGCCAAAATGCAGAAATACCGAATCAGACTTTTTTTAAATAACATTTTTTGTTTGAAAGAAAGTGAGACAGAGAGAGAGAGCTCCCATCTGCTACTTCACTCCCCCAAATGCCCATAAAACAGCAGAGGCTGGGCCAGGCCAATGCCAGGAGCCAGGGGACACCATCAGGGTTTCCCACATGGGTGGCAGAGGCCCAAGCACTTGGGTTATCACCTGCTGCCTCCCAGGGTGGGCATGAGCAGGGCGCTGGAATTGGAAGCAGAGCTGGGAGTTGAACCAAGGCATACTCACACGGGGTGTGGGCGTGCCAAATGCTCACCCCCCAAGTAAGGCTCTTGGCGGCGGGGTGGGAGGTGTTGTGTGCTTTCGCCATGGCCACGCCTGCCAGGAACTGAAGCAGGCCTGTAGGCCTAAGATCTGTACCTCTAGAAGCTTCTCTGGCTTTGTAGCCTCGCCTCTCCCAGTGCTGGCACCGCACCTGGGCTCATCTGAGCCCCTGGGGCCTGTGTCAGAACGTGGATTCTGACCCAGCAGGCCCTGGGGGTGCTCGGCGCACGCTCTGGGCACTGCAGCAGCAAGGCGTTGAGCCTGGTCCACACTGGCCCTCACCTCCAGAGGAGGGGGCTCTCCTGCTGATGGGGGCCTCCCTGAGTTGGGAGGGGCCTCTGCCAGCAGGGGCACTGTCAAGGCCACGATGGGGCCCCCAGGGGCCGGCTCTGAGTAGGACAGTCACTGGATGACAGAGGAGCAGCGGGCTTGTGGGGTGGTGCCTGGTCTCCCCCAAGCCCCTCCTCTGGTGAATGCCTCCAAACCCTGGGGCTGGGGTGACTGTGTCCCATGAAGTTCTGCCCTCCCACCCCACAGGGCACCATGAGACCCCACAGAAGCACTCCCAACACTCACGTCCCAGCGAGTGCTCCCGACACTCACCTTGTGTGTGTTGGCTCCACTCCTGGCCCTTCGTCCACAGCACCTAAGGCAGGGACAGGCACTGGCTGGGCCCTCAGGAAGGAGGGCTTGAGGTTGAGGATTCCAGTCCTCTACGCAGCGTCGGTCCCTGCCTCCTGCCAACCTGGAGAGATCCGTGTGCAAGTGTGTTCCGCGTGTGTCTGCCAAACACGGCACGCTCTCGCCACTCCCAGGGCGGTGCTTAGAGACAGGAGTAGAATGGTGGCTACTGGTGGGTGGGGAAGCGGGATCTGGGGCGAGTGTTCAGGGGTCCAGAGCCCTAGTGTGAGGAGAAGGTTCTGGAGAAGGGAGGTGGAGACAGCTGCACAGCAGTGTGACTGCACTTAGTGTCGCTGACCTGTGCGCTTACGACGCAGGTTTAGATGGTCAGTTGCAGGTGCCTGCACTGTGGCATGGTGGGCAAAGCCACCGCGTGCGATGTCAGCATCCCACCAACGCTGGTTCGTTTCCCAGCTGCTCCACTTCAGATCCAGCTCCCTGCTAATGACCTAGGAAAGCAGTGGAAGTCAGCCCAAGGTTTTGGGCCCCTGGCACCCATGTAGGAGATCCAGATGAAGCTCCCGGCTCCTGCCCGGCCAGCCCAGCCTCAGCTGTTGTGTTTTGAGAGTGAACCAGCAGATGGGTGATCTCTGTCTTGCTGCCTTGAAAATAATTTGAGAATTTAAACAAATGGTTTGCAAGCAATCCTGGTTGAACAAGCACAGGTCACAAGGCAGTGGGGGCTCCTGCTGCCACCTTCACGAGCGAGCCTCTTCTCCGTGGTTATTTTCCGTTGGAAGGTGGGAAATGAAAGGAGCTCCTGTCTGAAAACCCAGCTTTCTCTCTGCAGCTGTCGTAGTGGGTGAGGCCTGGAGGCTACCCCCAAGGTCCTGCGCCCCCGCCCTAATCCTGCAAACTACAACTGTGCAGCCATCAAACAGGGCGTCTCCCAGGTGGGAGTCTCCCGGGCGGGGCGGCCGCCCACGCCCCAGGCACTGACCTAGACACCGAGGTTACAGCAGGAACCAGACGCGTTTCTTTCCTGGTGCAATCTGAGTTCCGTCGTGGCAGACGACAGTATGCACGGTGTGTTCACGACCATCCAAGGGGACAGTTAAGTCCCAACAGGGCAGGACCCGGGAGGGCAGGGACAGCGAGCAGGGAGGACGCCGCTGCGGGAAGCCGACGAGACCGGGGAGATGCATGAGGGCTGGGGCAGCTCACAGCTCTGTCTCAGGACTGGGAGCCTCAGGGGACCAGGGGACAGGGCTGCCACGCCCGCCCTGCAGTGCTGTGGCTTGAGTAGTATGGTGCTGCTGACACATCTCCAGCACCAAGGACAGTCAGCTTCTCCCAAGGCCAGCCCCCTGCACCCCGGCAGAGGTGCGTTTATCCACGGCTGCCCGACACATCTGATTCCCCCAAATAGTGGGTCTCGGCCTGCACCGTCCCCAAGCCAAGGGTCACCGTCCCTTCCCTGCCCGTGGCTCTCTCAAGTCTGCCCACAGCTCCCCACCACCTCTCAATCCCGTCCCCTGGGGTGGAGTACAGGACAAAGCCTCAGGTCCCCCGCGTGCACCGGGGCAGCTCCTCGTCCCGCAGCTCTGCCGTGGCTGCACACTTCCCGAGCGGCCATCCTCTCCCCTGGGCGCCCACAACCTGCCCTGAGGGGCCGCAGGTCGGGGACAGGACAACAGCGGACCGTGGGACAGGCAAGCTGCCATTTTTAAAATATAACATTTATTGCTTTAGATGGTTTGATACAGAACAGCTTTCTTTTCATTCTGAATCTGGAAGTTCTATACAACTGAATACAAAGAGGAACAAAAAGTACCAAAACCAAACTTGTGATTCTCTGTTCATGTGGCATAAACCAGCTTTGTACATAACGTGTAGCAGCAGTTTTTTAAGTTCCCTTTAGAAAAATAGGAATTCTACACATTTATTATTGTTTCCTGTTTAATGCATGGGCTGAAATCAATAGGATCAACTTCCTTCTTGAAGAGAGAGGGGAGAGGAAAGAGACGAACGTCTGACGAATCTTTCTGAACGGGCATCCGAGCTGCGTGCGAGACTGCCCTGGGGGCTTCGCTCTCACAGCCAGGCGGTCCCTCCTGTAGTGATTGACTCTCAGCATCATGTCCATTAATCAAAGAGAAAAAAAACAAAGAAAAAAACACTTGCACCTCAAAAAACTTTTCAGAAGACCCATATATATACACACACATATATATATGTATATTTTTTTTGTAAAAGCCCTGAGAGAAGGAGAGAGAGAATCAAACAAAATGTATGGAAACAAATTAGCTGGACATGCAAAGTAAGCTACGATTCACCCAGAGTTTAAACAAATCACAAACTTCACAGTTTAATACTGGGGGAGGGGACGAGAACAACGAACAAGTAATACATCTCTCAACCTCACTAATAAAATGTGGCAAGACCTTACTACGGGGGCGGGGGCACAGATCAAGGCTAAATAAAGCTTTAACTCCATAGCGATTACTGCGGCGGCAGCCCCGGCCGCGCGGCCTGCTGGGAGCGATTCCTGCTACATCTCACCGCGGCCTGGTTAGTCACGGCTCCTCCCCACAGCACTGTGGGTCTGGCGTGGAGAGTCGGAGAGAGAGACAGAACACGAGGAACCCCAAATAACAACGAAAAGAAAAACTGTAGTAACAATAGAGAGAGACCACAAGGGCTGCGGGAACTGGTTTCACCTAAACAGACCAAGGGGCCAGCGGCTGCCACCTGCGCTTGCCTCCACGGTAAATGGAAGCCCGTTCGGGAACTGGCTCGTGCCTCCCCGTTACAGGTCAAAGCCAGCTCTGCCTCCCTTGTTGGCCTTCTACACACCCAGACAATGCTTTCCATCCTCCAAGTGTCTCCACCTCCCTCAGGGCCCCTGCCACCAGGCCGACCCGTGAGCAAGGGGGGGAGGGACACGCGTGCTTTCACGTGCATGGACACAAGCACAGGAGGGGCGCCTGGAACCAGGAGGGGCTGCAGGGGGCGGGCAGGAGGCAGCACAGGGGGCCGTGGCCTCGGGTCAGCTACAGTAGGACTGATTGCTTTTGCCTGCAGGCGGCTGCGCTGGGGCACCAACACCCCAGGGTTCGGTTCCACTCAGGAAATGAGAAACGGCAGGTGGATCTCTGCGCGTGGGAGGAAGCTAAGGGGCTAGCTCTCTCCTCCTAACCCTCGCACGTGTGGCTTTATCGCAGTAGTGATTCCGCGCTTGGCCCGCCCGCGACGGCCGCAGAGCCGCGCAGGGCAGGAAGGGGACCGGGCGGCGGGCTCCCCTCTCCAAGCCGCCCCTGCGCCGGCATCTGCAGTCAGGGAAAAAAGGCTTATGTGAGTACAGTAGAAGAGCCGCCCCCCGGGGGTGCCGGCGACAGCTTCAGGCACGTGCTACGGGGGACCTGGGGGGGTGCAGGTCTCCCAGGACAAATATTGCCCACTTGTTTCTGCTGACTGCAGAGACCAGCAAACTGACAAACTACAAATAATAATAATAATAATAATATTAACAACACATACACCACAGGGGAGGGGGGAAGCCGAACGCAGGACGCCCAGGCCTGTCTCCCGGGCGGCAGGTGGCCGGGACAGCCACTCTCGGCGAGTGGGAGGCGGATGTCTTGAAAACTTGAACCAGAACCACTTCTAGAGCGGACAGAGCGGGGCCGCGCACGAGGCTGAGGCTGGAATCTCCCCCGGTTTTGGCTGGAGCCACGTGGGAGCCTCCCTCAGCCGCCTGCGCTACCGCCCAGAACCAGGCTGCAGCTCCAGCACGTGCAGGCGCGACCCTGGACAGACAGGGGCGCGTGCGGGAGCTGAGCGACTCCGCCCTTCCTCGGGTCACTCACGGGAAATTCACATCTTCTTCTTCCAGTTGTGGGCTGCGCCATCCGCGGGCTCGGCTTCTCCCGTCTCCAGCGCACGGAGCCAGGGGCACTGGCGGCGATTCCCAGGAACCAGCTCACACACCCCCGTCACACAGGGTAACGTTAATGCTTCTCCAGGCAATTCATTAAAATACGCGCTTTGTTAAAAAGTCAGTTTGGGAAAACACAAGGCCCAAGACGACGCGGGAGGCTCCCCAAGTAGTTAAGGCACTGGTATGGGCGCGGGCACGCGGGAAGGGCTATGGCACTGCTGGCGCGGCCGCGCACCTGCTGGTCGCTCGCTCCCCGGCAGGCAGCCGGAGGGCGCAGAGGAAGCCTCTGGACAGGCTCGGGACACGTTGCTCTGCTGGCTTTTGTGTGTGTGTGTGTGTGTGTGTGTGCACGCGCGGAGGGGGCGGGCGGCGGTCACTCCGTGCCCAGGAGGGCGGGGGCGGGCCGCTTGCTGTGCAGCTCCAGTAGGTCTTGCACCAGGGACTCTGGGCTCTGGGGGCCGGGGTCCCCCGGAGCCGCCTGCTCCTTGGGGCTGCCCCGGCCCCCGCTCTTCTCCTTCCCGCCGGGGCCCAGGCTCTCCTTCCGGCTCCGGGTGACGGCCACGTGGTTGCTGGTGCTGGGCGCCGGCTCGGCCTCGTTCTCCGACACCGGGTTGTTGCCGCTGTGGGTGGACTCGTTCTCGCTGTCCTCGTCCCCCCGCTCGTCCTTGTCACTGTCCTTGCCCTGGTGCTGGGCGCGCCTGGCTTTTTGGTGGATGCGCTGGTGCCGAACGAGGCTGTGCTTCAAGGTGAAGGTTCGCTCGCAGGTCTGACACTTGTACGGCCTCTCCCCTGGGGCGGCGGAGAAAGGGACACACGGGCGTTAACAGGCAGGCCACTGGCACCCACACTCCTGCCCCGCACCCAGACAGGCCCACCCGGGAGCCCTCTGCATCTGGACTGGCAAAGCGGGGACAGACGCGCGCCAGGGCCCCCCCCCCCCCCTTTCCTCTTTCAGCCCAGCTCTTCGTCCTGGTCTTGGAAACCCGAGTCCCAGATGCAGGAGTTTCGGGGACAGAGACTGGCCTCGGCCCGAGCCCGGCCGGCAACTCCACAGCGGGGCAGAACCGTCCCCTCCGGCGGCTCTGCAGCACGGCCGTGCCCTGGACCCACAGCCTCTGGCTCCTGCACCAGCCGCCAGGAGTGAGACCAGCACCTGCCGGGCAGGGGGCCGAGTCTCTGCTGCCAGTCAGGGCCCACAGCCCTCACACAGCCCCCGAGCTGCAGGGGTGGGGGCACGTGTGTGTGTAAGAGGCCGGGGTAGGGGCCACGCAGGAGACTGGCATGAGGGGAGTGTGTGAGCAGGTGGGGTGGGGGCACATGTGTGGGCAGGAGGCTGCTGGGGAGGTACATGTATACGCAGGGGAGCTGGCGTGTGGGCCATGCGTGTGCACAGGAGCCAGTGTGCAGGGCACGTGTGTGCATGGGAGGCTGTGGTGGGACACACGCGTGTGCACAGGAGCCAGTGTGCAGGGCACGTGTGTGCATGGGAGGCTGTGGTGGGACACACACGTGTACACAGGAGCCGGTGTGCAGGGCATGTGTGTGTGGCACGTGAGGCCGTGGTGGGGCGAACGCGTGTACACAGGAGCTGGTGTGCAGGGTACATGTGTGTGGCATGTGTGTGCATGGGAGGCTGTGGTGGGACGCACGTGTGTGCATAGGAGTCAGTACGCAGGCCACGTGTGTGCACGGGAGGCTGTGGTGGGACGCACGCGTGTGCACAGGAGTCAGTACGCAGGGCACATGTGTGCACGGGAGGCTGTGGTGGGACGCACGCGTGTGCACAGGAGCCATTGTGCAGGGCACATGTGTGTGGCATGTGTGCATGGGAGGCTGTGGTGGGGTACACGCGTGTGCACAGGAGCCGGTGTGCAGGGCACGTGTGTGCACGGGAGGCTGTGGTGGGACGCACGTGTGTGCATAGGAGTCAGTACGCAGGCCACGTGTGTGCACGGGAGGCCGTGGTGGGGTGCACGCGTGTGCTCTGCTGGCCTGTGTGTGTGTGGCGGGGAGCCGGTGGGCGCAGGCCCGTGTGCCCACCACTGGCTGCAGCTGAGCTGCAGGAGAGCCGACGCCGGGCACCTGCCCAGCAGGTCAAGCTCTTGCTCATGCCCGGCTCGGGCCGCGGGGCCAGGCCCTGTGCAGGCAGGGGCGCGCGCCCCGTCCCCGGCTGGCGCCTTACCCGTGTGGGAGCGCATGTGGCGGGTGAGGTCCTGCAGCGACCAGAAGCGCTTGTTGCACACGCTGCACACCTTCTTCCTCTTGTCGGCCTTGCTGGCCGCGCTCTTGGGCGAGTCCGTCTTTGGTTTCCTGTCGTCGTCGCTCTTCTCCGAGGACTTCAGCTCGGCCGCGCCCTCCCCGTCCGAGGGGCCCTCGGTCTCCTCACTGTGCGGCTCCGCCGCGGCCGGGGCCTCCCCCGCGCCCGGGCCGGGCTCCGCAGCCGCAGCGGGGGGCTCGGCGGGCTTCTCCTCGGGCGCGGGCGGCGCGTCCCCCTCGGCGGGCGGCGCGGCCCCGCCGTCCCGGGGCTCCTGGCGGCCGTGCACCTTGCGGTGGCGGCTCAGCGTGCCCAGGAACTTGAAGCTCTTCCCGCAGGCGTCGCACGCGTACTTGTGGTCCTGCGGGCCGCAGCCCCCGGCGCCCGCCTCGCCCTCCGCCAGCTTGAAGTCCATCAGCTTGCTGGCCAAATCCAGGTCCAGGCTCTTGTTGCTGCCCGCGTCCTCCTCGGGGCCGTCCGCCTCCCCAGCGCTCTCCTCGGGGCCGTCCCCCGGCGCCCAGCTCTCCTCGGCCCCCTTCTCTCCGCCCTGGCCCGGCGATGCTGGCCCGGCCTGGGCCTGCGCGGCTGCCGTGTCCTCGCTGGCCTCTGACGGCGACGGCTGCTCCGTGTCGCGGGAGGTGAGGTCCAGCACCTCCCCGGCGGGGGCCGACGTCTCAGTGTCTGACTGGCTGTCTGTGTGGGCAAGCACAGCGGGGGCTGGGTTCAGGGGAGACCCAGGGCTCCACGGGCACTCAGCTGGGCCCACCCCAAGCCCACAGCCGCCATCTCACCCCGGGATTTCCTGGGGAGGCCTACAGCACCCTGGGGCCTTGGGCAGAGGCAGCGGCCACATGCCTGCAGAAGGTTCCGGAAGGTTCTGGAAGGTTCCAGCCTCCACAGCGCCCCCCCCCCCAGGTGTGAGTGACTCAGGCAGCACAGACAGAGGGGCTGCAGGACAGGAGAAGAGTGAGGTCCAGACACTGGCAGCACCAGGGCGTTGAGGAAGCCAGGTTGTAAACAAGTTATTTTTCCGGTGCAGAGATGATACAAACATGCAACATACACAGGACCCCCCTCCCCATCCTCCACAGAGAGGGGGTCCAGTGTGGAGTCCATGTCCTCCCCTGTGGCAGACATCTACGCTCCCGCCTGCCAGGTCAGAGGTCAGAGGTCAGGAGACGCATGCACCCTGGGAGGCTTTCCTGGCTGCAGCCAGCTCCTGACAGGGGCACACAGGGGGAGGCAGCTGAGGCAGGAGTGGGCGTGCGTGTGGACAAGGGATTCGGGGTTACCCATTCCACAGACCCTGACTGTGCGCACGGACAAGGGATTCTGGGTTACCCATTCCACAGACCCTGACTGTGCGCACGGACAAGGGATTCGGGGTTACCCATTCCACAGACCCTAGGACTCTGTCTCTTGGTTTGCTCCCATCTGGCCCTAGCAAAACTAGATGTGGGAAGCCAGCCGGCTTTCTGTGACCGTAAGGGATGGCACTGTGGCAACAACCGTGACACCAAACGGTGCCACCACCTCCTCTTGGCGGCATCTTGGTATGTACCATGACGGTGAAGCCGAAGCTGGCCAGGAGCTGCCTGGAGCTGATCCGCTGCTCCCAGGACCGGGGCAGCTCAGGGCTCTGTGGCACACAGGAGCTGTGCCTCCCCGGATGGGCTGCCTTGCCTCAAGCCTGGGGTCTCACAGGCTGTCCACAGGCACACCACATCAGTCCTCGCCCGTCCCCCTTCCCAGTGTCAGTGTCGTCCCGGGGCTGGGTCGGGACAGGACCTGACCCCCGGGTCACCTGCCATCACCTCATCTGCCTGGCTCTGTTCCCACTACACCTGCTGGCCGCCTGTCTCAGCATCTCACAACAGGTTTTAGAAGGAACTGGGGGGGGGGGTGCTGTGGCACAGTAGGTTAATCCTCCACCTGAGCGCCAGCATCCCACATGGGCGCTGGTTCTAGTCCCGGCTGCTCCTCTTTCAACCCAGCTCTCTGCTGTGGGCCTGGGGAAAACCAGAACAAAAAAGGTCCCAAGGCCTTTGGGCTCCTGCCCCCACATGGGAGACCGGGAAAAAAACACCCTGGCTCTTTGGGTTTCAGAATTGGGACAAGCTCCCGGCCATTATGCATTTGGGGAATGAACCAACAGAAGGAAGACCTTTCTCTCTGTCTCTCCCTCTCACTGTCTGTAACTCTATCTCTCAAATAAATAAATAACATCTTAAAAAAAAGAAAGGAACCGAGGCATTGTGTGTGTAAATAAAACATTTCTGACCAGATGTGAATTTTGAAAATTAGCCAAAAACTCAAGAGCATGCACACCGACAGCAAGGCCATCTTCCAGGTCAACCCGGGCAACCGCTTTCTGAACTGTTTCAACAGAGTATCTGCAGATGGATTCTGGCACAGGCCCCGCGATCAAAATAAAGATGCTTGGCTTTCTGGGGGATTTTCTTTTTTCTTCTTCTTCTTCTTCTTCTTCTTTTTTTTTTTTTTTTTGGACAGGCAGAGTTAGGCAGTGAAAGAGAGAGACAGAGAGAAAGGTCTTCCTTCTGTTGGTTCACCCCCCAAAAGGCTGCTATGGCCAGCGCGCTGCGCCGATCCGAAGCCAGGAGCCAGGTGCTTCTCCTGGTCTCCCATGGGGTGCAGGGCCCAAGCACTTGGGCCATCCTCCACTGCACTCCCTGGCCACAGCAGAGAGCTGGCCTGGAAGAGGGGCAACCGGGACAGAATCCGGCGCCCCAACCGGGACTAGAACCCGGTGTGCCGGCGCCGCAAGGCGGAGGATTAGCCTAGTGAGCCGCGGCGTCAGCTGGGGGATTTTCTTAAAAAGGCTGCATCTTCAGTGACTTCCTCTTTGTCCCAGTTTATCCTGGGCTCTTTCTGTGACTATTTTTCTTTTAAGGAAAGGACATGGATCATTCTAACTGTATGGAATATATTTAAATGGAAAAAAATCAAAATGAATTCTGAAATTCTGAAACCCAACCCACATAAATATACTGCGGTGCACCTGTTCCCACGCTGAAGACCTTCCTTAGAGTGGATAACCGAGAGCGCCCCAACCTAAGGACAGCGCGAGGCCAACTCCCTCTGGACAAAGGGGCCTTGGGTGTGCTCTACCCAACGGCCACTAGGGGGAGTGTTCCAGCAGGGTAGCCCCTGCTCTCCAAGCTACAACTGCAAAGCATTTTTGTCAGTGACTCTGTGAGAGCCAATTTACAAGGCCAGCTCCAAATGCTTCCTCCTAGCCCTCCCAAATGCAGGCAGCTCAGTGGATAACTCCGTCAGTAATATACTTTAAGATTTATCTACGTGTTTGAAAGGCAGAGTTTAGAGAGAGAGAGGAGAGGCAGAAACAGATCTGCCTGCTCATCAGTCTCCAAATGGTTGCAATGGCCGGGGCTGGGCAAGGCTGAAGCCACGGGCCCCAACTCCATCCAGGTCTCTCACGTGGGATGCTGGCTTTGCAGGCAGCAGCCTCACCCCCCCCCCCCCCCGCCGCAGCGCTCCCCAGTTCTGTTCGTGGTGTCAACGTCTAAGAGGAAGCAGGAGTCCTGGTGGAGGGTAAACCTGCAGCTCCTCCTACACTTTCCCAGTCAGCTCGCTGGCTGGACACCTGCTGCTCCCTGCAAATGCAGTGGTACTCAGGTGCAGACCCGACGGGCGGGGCAGCTCCGCGGAGAGGCTGCCCCGTCCGCACGTCACCTGTTCAGAATTGAGCACTACGGGAAAGTTCAAAACCTCCCCGCTTACACCAGCGGTCCTGTGTCGGGCCAGTGCCGTGACACAGAAGGGTAAGCCTGTGCCTGCAACGTCGGCGTTCCCCCATCAGAGCAGTCTGAGCCCCAGCTGCTCCGCTTCTGGTCCAGCTCCCTGCAGCCGGGGCCCGTGAAGGCAGTGGGATATGACCCCCGTCAGAGGCCCGGATGGAGTTGTGGGTTCAGCCCTCGCCACCGTCTCCCACTCTTTCACATCAATCAATGAGTCTTAAAAACAGAAGAGGCGGTGCCTGCCAACATGAGAGCTCCTCCAGGCATCTGGGGAAGCCGTCAAGGGCACGCCAAGGGCACCGTAGGTCCAGGGAGAGTGAACGGACAGCTTCCGTTTGAATCTCAGCGCTCGCTATGCCCTGCTCTGCAGCGACGGTTTGGCGGGAGGGGAAATCTAGGGTGCATTTTCATGAAAGACTTCATGTGACTGAAAATGTGAGACCAGGGTGGGCGTCTGGTGGGCGTCAAGACACTGCTTGGAAGGCGCACACCTTGCATGGGGGTGCCTGGCTCTGCTTTGGATTCCAGCTTCCTGCTAACGAGCGCCTTGGGAGGCGTGGTGGCTCGAGTACTTGGGCTCCTGCCACCCACGTGGACGGAGGCCCCGACTCCTGGCTTCAGCCCGGCCCAGCCTTGCCTGTGCTGGGCATCCGGGGAGTGAATCGGTGGGTGGAAGATCTCTATGTGTCTGCTGCTCTGCCTTTCAAGTTAAAAACACAGAAACAAAGAGAAAAAAAAAAAACAAACAGAAAACGGCAGGGCTGCTATGAAACAAGCTCGCTCAGGGGTCGCGAGGAACTGCAACGTCAGGGCATAAACCTGGAAGCCCCAAAGGAACATCCTTCGTCACGCACTGCCCCTTCCTTTCCTTTTAAACGGCCTCCCCCAGAGCCTCCTTCCGACTTCCTGGGAAGGGGCCCAGGCAGCTTGCACCCAGCCCTATCAGGCTCAGCAGGCCCTCAGAATCCCCCCCGCCCCTGCCCCATCTCCAAGGCCTCCGTCACTCCCTGTTCTGCCTCTCCCTCGTGGAGCCCAGTGCTCCGTCCCCACACACGTGTCTCCTCTCTGCTGGCCTCACGTCACCACTCCCGCTGCAATTTCTTTTTCGAGCGGCTTTGTGCCTTCCAGAAAACCTTTGCAGCTTCGGGGGGCAGGGCAGAGGCGTCGGAGGGGATTTGGAAAAACCAGACTCCCGTGACTGCGACCTTAAAGAAATGCACCTGCAGGGCAACGCTCGGTGTGCAGGGGAGGCTAGGACCGTGCGTCTCGACCGAGCGAAGCGTCTGTGTGCAGCCGCCCCGCGGGTCTGGGTCCCCTGTGTATCATCGGGGTGCACCCTGGCATAGGCTCCGCACTTCAGGGCACCCTAAGTTACCTGCTGCTGTCCCTCACGCTCTAAGCCAGGCTGCAGGGAAAAGCGCCCTGGACCGCCGGCAGGTGCTGGTTAAAGGCTAACCGGGCGCCCTGTGGGCTGCACAGCAGGGCACCCTTAGGCTCATGGGTCCCACGTCATGGCAAAATTCCACAGGTGACCGTGCCCAGGTCTTTCCCGCCCCGTGGGAGCTGGGGGAAGGAGCCGGCGGACTGGCCCACGGGGAGGGTCTGACCTAGACTAAAGGGCTGGGCAGTTCAAGGGCAACCCAAGGGCTTTACTCCGGCTGTTTCCCGAGGGCTTGCGTGGGGGGCATGGGAAAGGGCAGAGTGCTCAGGTCCCCTCCTGCAAACGCTGCCCTGCTCCTGTCTGCAACAGGGGTGAGGACAAAGGGGCTGGGGTTAAGACCCGGCCCTCTGCCCAGCTGACGCCGGGGGCCCTCCACACTGCACAGAGCCCCACCCCCACCCAGGTCCAAGGACGAGAAGCACACGCCCCAATGACAGCCTTAGGAGAGCACAGCTGGGCTCCTCTGCTCAGCCCCAAGCCACAGGCAAACGCCGGACTTCCAAGACCTGCAGAACGGGCCCAGCACCTGCAGTGCTGCCGGGGCGATGCCCACTACCCCCCAACAGCCACACGTTCTTGTGTCTTGTCTTGGGGCGGGGGGAGATGAGGGAGTGTGCACTGAAGACGGGGCGGGGGGGCAAGAGAAGGGGTGTGCGGGGAGGAGGCAGGAGAGGACCAGGGCAGGCAGCTGTTAATGGCTCTGTGAGGGCGGGGGCAGGTAACAGGAGCAGAGAGCAACACCCGGATGGACGGACGCAGGTCAGGCACAGCCGTGATGACACACAGGACATGCAGGGGGCTCTTTCATGAGGACAGTTTCACGCGGGAGGGGAGAACACGGCCCCGGCCGGCCTCTGCCTGTCCAGCAACTGGGCACACCCCATCGCTGCAGTTCCCTGCGCCTGGGGGGGGGGGCGCCGGGGGGCAAGGTCTCACACCCTCCCTCCCCCTCCCCCCACCCCCGCCTCCCCACGCAGGAACAGGCCTGCTTCTAAGCTGGGGGCGCTGCGACTCGTGTCTGCTGTCTGTCCATCTAGGCTGAGCTGGCCGGGGAGTCAGGCCCCACCCGGCCTCGGCAGGGGCCACCTTTGGGGGCTGCGGGGCTCCGAGTGCTACGGAGGCGCGCTCGGCGGCCGGGCGGACCGAGCCAGAGCCGGCTCCTCCCTCTCTGGGTTCTCCACCACCTGGAGGCACTACCTGGGCTATCAAAGACTCCAGCTTCACTCTCTCTGGACTGGGGCATTAGCCCGTTTCTTCTCAGGGAACAGGTGGTAACTCCGTGTTTGCGCAACTGGTGGCGTTCACAGTTAGATTTGGTAGAAAAGAAGGCATCGCATTTTTGACAAGGGAAGGGTTTCTGACCTGAAGCAGGAGAAAAAATATATATTTATCTGGCTTTCTACTGCAACGAGAAAGAAAAGTCCCTCTTGAGTCATTCCCCTGGGGTTGCTGGCATTTGTTACACCCCCCCCACCCCCGCCCATCCCTTTAAAGAGAATTAACACTGGAAAATAAAAAAAAAACCAGCAAAACACAGCGACAGTTGAGGTAATGATTCCCCCCGCCCCTTAGCCTGAGTGGAACACAATCAGTTGCTGTCTTCAAAACACTAAAAGAAAATTAACAATGAAATGAAGGCATATACATTGAGAATAAAACAATGGCGTTACAATTAAAAAATATTCAACAACAACAACAGAGTGAACATGGCAAGACAACGTCTACGTTTCATCACAAGGGGTCACCTTAAATAATCCCTAACCTGGTGAGCGCCGAGTTGGGGAAGCAGGCCCAGGCCCTCCTGGGGCAACTCTGAACCCCTTGGCTGTATGCAGGGGGTCCACCTAGATGTCAGCCCCCGCCTCCTAGACAGGTGTCCGTCCACGGCCCTCCCGCAGGGGCCACGGCCCTGAGTTCCCAGTACTCCCCCTGTCTGGCTTGCCCAGACAACCTGCAGTGACCTCTGCCCAAGGTCACTGCCATCCCTGCTGGCAGGAGACAGGAGGTCCTCTCCTATCAAAGGTTCTTTGTTCCCCTTGCTCCAAACCTGGCTTGGTGGTAGGTAAGTGACCAACTCATCACTCTGTCAGCAGCAGACCACGCCCAGCTCCGGTGGGGTCGCCGGCTGGCGGAGTGCCCCGCCCCCAGGAGGTGGCCGCTGTGTCTGTCTCAGCCTCTCCTTTTACTGGGGCCCCTTCAGTACTGTGAACACCACCTTTCACAAGGCAGGGGAAGCTCCAGGGTGCGTGGATGGCGGGAGGCCCAAAGCACAAAGCCAAAGGGACTGGGGGAGAGAGAGGGATGGAGGGAGGGAGGGAGGGAGGAGAGGGGGAGAAGAGAGGGGTTAGGCCGGCACCTGCCACACGCCGGCTCTTCCTTGTGGACTGTGGGTGCTCTTCAGGGGCGCAGGTGTCATTCACGCAGCAGCCTGACTCAGAGCTGCAGTGTGGGACCCTCAGGACTGCCACCATCACACACGGGAGTCCCGGGGGGCTCCCCCTCCCTGGAATGCATGGCAGGGGCCGAGGTGGGGGGCCGCCTGCTTCCTCTCAGGTAGGAAGAGCTAACTCCTGGCAGCACCAGCACCCAGCACCAGGGGAGGCTGTTCCGGGACAGCAAAGGTGTGCAGGCCCGGCACATGACCAGGAGCCATCACGGCGGGGGACGTCCCCTCTCTGCTCTGCAGAAAGGCCCTGGGGTGCCACCCCCAGTCGCCTCTGAGCTCCTAAAGCACACGAATACCACGGGAAGAAAACCCAGAACCCCCAAAGATAACGTTTATCTTGGTACAAAAAGTTTTGAAGTTCACGCATAGTTTATTCACAACATACATTTCCCATGAAGTTTTTAATGACAAAACTATGCATGGATCTGCAATTGTTTTTGCATCAAAATAAACTCTTCCTTTAATTCCATGTTCCACCAAGTTCTGGAAGTACCCTCACACATAGGGGAGCACCACAGGTCAGAGGTGAGAACTGGGACTGGCACCACCATCTGCACCACATGCATCCTTTAAGGGCGCCGGCTCAAGTCCTAGCTGCTCTGCTTCTGATCCAGCTCCCTGCTGATATGCCTGGGAAAGCTGTGGGTCCTGCTACCCAAGTGGGAGTCTCAGATGGAATTCTAGGCTCCTGCTTTGTCCTGGCGCAGCACTGGCTATTGCAGCCACTTGGGGAGTGAACCAGCAGATGGAAGATATCCCTCTCCTTCTCCCTCTCTCTCTGCCTTTCAAATAAATAGCTGCTTGAAAGTGTCTGTTAACAAAGTCTTCTAGGCATTTTCTGCTAAGTTTATTCTGAATAAACAATAAAACAAAAACCAGCTTTAAATAAGATTATGATTTTGGGGCTGGTGCTGTGTAGTGGGTAAGGCTGCTGCCTATGGCGCCGGCATCCCACATGGGCCCCAGTTTGAGTTCCGGCAACTCCACCTCTAATCCAATTCCCTGCTAATGAGCCTGGGAAAGCAGCAGAAGATGGCCCAAGTGCTTGGGCCCTGCACCCGCGCGGGAGACCTGGAAGAAGCTCCTGGCTTCGAATAGGCTCAGCTCTGGCTGTTGAGGCCTTTTGGGGAGTGAACCAGCGGATAGAAGACCTCTCTCTTTGTTTCTACCTCTCTAACTGTGTCTTTCAAATAAATAAATAAATAAAATAGAAATTAAATATATGAGGGGCTTTAGAAAGTTCATTGAAAATGGAATTAAAGTTTTTTTTTTTTTTATTGTTTTTGACAGGCAGAGTGGACAGTGAGAGACAAAGAGAAAGGTCTTCCTTTGCCGTTGGTTCACCCTCCAATGGCCGCCGCGGTCAGCACACTGTGGCCGGCGCACCGCGCTGATTCGAAGGCAGGAGCCAGGTGCTTCTCCTGGTCTCCCATGGGGTGCAGGGCCCAAGCACTTGGGCCATCCTCCACTGCACTCCCAGGCCACAGCAGAGAGCTGGCCTGGAAGAGGGGCAACCGGGACAGAATCCGGTGCCCCAACCGGGACTAGAACCCGGTGTGCCGGCGCTGCAAGGCGGAGGATTAGCCTAGTGAGCTGTGGCGCCGGCTTTAAAGTTCTTTTTAATACAAAAATTCTGAAATTCATGCATAGCTTTTTCATAGCATGCATCCCCATGAACTCCATGAAGATCCTGCATATGCACGGATTTCGACTTTTCTGCATCAAAAGCAACGTATCTTTTCAGTTCCATGCACTTTCAGGAGACCCCTTCTGGCGAGTGCACAACATAGCCCTTCTTGGTGACGTTACAACAGGCGTCCTCACAGGCCTCAAAGTCTGTGCAGAGCTTCAACTTGGTAACTGTCCCACAAGGGGCATGTGTGTGTGTGTGTGTGTGTGTGTGTGTCTGACTGCAGGAGCGACTGTGGCCACAAGCAGTTGCCTTTGCACCCATGCCCCCCGCCCACTCCAGCCCCCAGCACCGGGCATGTCAACCTTCAGCCAGTGGGTGCGCAGGCTCTCGTAGGAACCGAGAGAGATGAAGGGCACAGGATCTGCCCGCGCTGGGGGGAGCGGGAGAGCGAGCTGGGAGAGGGAGAAGCACACGGCAGACACCAGACCCAGGAAACCGAGCTGGCCATGTCTCCGTCCACTCCTCAACTTGGGCGGAAAACCACGTGGCTTCTCCTCTCAGCAGGGCGACACAGCCAGGGGCCCCACACCCAGGACTTTCTGCCACCTGAACCTACCCCCTGGCAGCAACGGTGTCTTCCTTTTCTATTTTCTCCTTGGCAGGGGGCCACGGGGAGGAAGCTGAACGCAGCCAGGTAGGCATGGCCAGGTGCTTCCCACGCCCACGTGTGGACACCGAAGTGACTGACATTCCCAACGTGCTGCAGCGAGTGAGACAGGAGGGGGAGCGGCGGAGTGGGAGAGCGAGCCGGGACCATGGACCGGCACAGGGACGAGGCACCCAGCACAGGGAAGGAGGAAGCCCACGAGGGCCGAAGCAGACTGGCTGTGTGTCCTGGCACTTGCCGCTCCACCTTGGCCTAAAAACACAGGAGACGCTCACGAGGGCGAAGGCGGGAACAGAGGGCACTGTTGTCCCCTCAGGTGGTGAGGAACCAGGAACTGTTCCCTCCTGCAGGAAGCCGCGGGCCGGGAGAAAGCCAGAGAGGAGCGGCGGGAGAAGGCAGGTGCCCGCAGAGGCCGCGCCAGGGGCCATGAAAAAGCCCATGGCTGCTGCCAGCTTCCTCCTGCACCAGTTCCTGGGACGGAGCCCAAGAGGGCAAGGAAAGGACTGATGCTCCTTGCTGGTGGCCAGCGGGTGGCCCCGGGTCAGACGCCCAATAGCCGGTTTGCTTCCTGCTGCCCCGAGCGGGGGAGGCACAGCGGAGGACATGAGCACAAAGTAGAGACATTACGGTAACGCCGAGGCCGCCCTCAGGACAGAGACACTGTGCTGGCCGGGACCCAGCTAGCTTCTAACAAACAGGAAGCCCCACAGAGCGCTGCCCCGTGACACCTTGGGTCGCCGCAGCGCCAGCCTCCAAGTCCCCAGGCCCTGAGTCTCCCAGGGGCGGAGGGAGAGGCATCCAGCGGGAGCCGGGGAGGGCCACGCAGCTCTGGGGGCGGCAGAAGTGCCCACCAGGGGAATGCGTTGATGGCCGTCGAGGCGCCGCCCGGCTCTCACGCCTGGTGATGGCGACACATTTTCCCAAGGCACGGGTCTCAGCCAAGCGCTGTACACGGCCCGATCTTACAGTGGGGCTGCTGACAATGGCCCCGGGAGCTGACGAGGCAGGTGCGCAGAGCCCAGCGGGCGGTGGCCGGCACAGTTCTGTAGTGACCAAAGCTCTGACGACGAGCACTCTCGGGCTGGAGCCTGTCTTCCGCACGTGAGAACACGAGGCGGCCCTGTCTGAATTCCCGCACTGCCTCCTACTACACAGCTATGATGATGGCAGAACAGGCACTCGGCCTTCTGAACTGAATTCCTCATGGCAGTGTGGACAGCGTCCACGCACAGGCCCGTCCTGAGAGTCAATGTCACGATTAAGGCTCGGGAGGGGGCTGGTGCTGTGGCGCAGCGGGTTAGGCCGCCGGGGACGCCGGCATCCCCTGTGGGTGCTGGCTTCGGTCCCCGCTGCTCTGCCTCCCCCCCAGCTCCCTGCCAATGCTCGTGAGAAAGCAGCGGAAGATGGTCCTAGTGTTTGGGCCCCGGGACCCACGCGAGACACCCATGTGGAGTTTGGGGCTTCAGCCAACACTGGCCGCTGGAAGCCATCTGGGGAATGAACAAGTGTTTGGGAAATGCAGATGGCTTTGTCTCTCCCGCTGCAACGCTGCCTTTCAAAAAACAAAGCAAAAACAAAACGGGGGTGGGCAGGCTGGATTCTCAAGTGGGAACAACTTTCAGGTGTCTGCAAAGACTGGGGCTGCTCCAGGCTTCTCAGGGAGCTTGCTGGGATCCCAGACGTCTGAGCACACGCGGCTCATCCCAGAATGCGTAGCCACTACCGGCACAGATGCTCGGCCGGGGGGAAGGGCATGGGGAGGCCGGGGACCAGCGAGGGAGAGAGGCGAGCGGGGGAGGAGCCAAGATCAGATCCAGACCACCTGCCTCCCGAAAGGCAGAAGCGCTCACGTCTCCACGGACCCTGCAGGTGACAGCAGTGTCATGGAGAAGGGCAGCAAGACATGGCTGCGGGGCACAGTCTCTCGCGGACGCGTTTTCCTCTCTGAACTGCTGTATTCCTCTGCCAGGCTTAAGTTGTTTCCACGGAGAGAACGCCAGGGCCTGAAGCGGCGCGTCCCGCCCTGGTTAAGGGAGTCCCCTCTCTGACTCGCATCCACGTGGCTGACGCTGGCACCTCGTGCAGCCCTGCCCTGACCCCCGAGCTCCGCGCCACGGCTTCTGAGCTGCTTCCCCTCCCCAGGCTGCCCCCTGCCCGCTCTCCCGGCTTCCGGCAGTGCCTCTGCCACCTGCTCCCTGCAGCCCCACCCCTCCCAGGACGCTCAGGGCTACCTCACCTTTCTGGGATGATCGGACCTAGATCAAGTGTTTCTACTGGCACGCAGAACACTCAACCTTGTCCCCACCACCTTCCCCCCTCTCCACAGTGTCACCACAGTGTGGCAAGTTCCCTCTGTCTAGGGCTGCTATATTTAGCAACTGAATACACAGGCTGCTCAGTTCAGCTTGTTAGTGTATCTCAAATATTGCAAGGAAAAAAAGCAATGGCAGAAACCACAGGGGCGCCAGCTCGAACCCCGGCTGCTCCACTTCTGATCCAGCTCCCTGCTAAGGTGCCTGGGAAAGCAGTGTAGGAGGGACCAAGTGCTTGGGCCCCTGCCACCGACATGAGGGAGCTGGATAGAGTTTGAGGCTCCTGCTTTGGCCTGTCCTGTCCCCGACCGTCGTGGCCATTTGGGGAGTGACCAGTGAAGGGAAGACCTTCTGTCTCTGTGCCTCTCACTCTCTGCTACTCTTTCAAGTAAAATAAATAAACCTCAAAAAAAAATTGTTTAAATTCAAATGCAACTGGAATCCTGTTTGTGGAAAAATGGTATTAAAAGGTGTTTATTTTTGCATAAAAATAAAGTGAAACCCACATGTTTTTTTCTTAACATGTAATTCACACAAACTTTTTTAAAATATACTTTTACTTATTTTCATTTTACTTGAAAGGCAGAGAGGCAGAGAGAGAGAGAGAGATCCCTCATCTGCTGATTCCCCCCTAAATGCCCACAATGGCCAGTTTGGGGCCAGGCAGAAGCCAGGAGCCAGGAGCTCCCTCCAGGTGTCCGTGTGGGGAGCAGGCACCCAAGCCCGTAACCATGGGCTGCCTTCCAGGTGCACACTAGCAGGGGGCTGGGTGGGAGGCGGGCACTCGATGCGGGAGGACACGGGCGTCCTAACCAGTGCACCGCGCCTGTCCCTCCACCAACTGCGGAGGTCTCCTCATTGTAGCTGTCAATTCTGTACCGCACAAACAGAAGCACTTGGTTTGAGGCCCCATCTATTAATACTGGGGTTGTAAACTCCGAAGAGTAACAATCTCCATTAATTAATCCTTGATTCACTGATATAAATCCTATAATAAAAATTAACATTACGGGGCTGGCGTTGCGGTGTAGTGGGTAAAGCTGCTGCCTGTGACGCCGGCATCCCCTATGAGCGAGGGTTCGAGCCCTGGCTCCTCCACTTTCTGTCCAGTTCCCTGCTGATGGCCCAAGAAAAGCGGTGGAAGATAGACGGAATGTTTGGGCTCCTGCTATCCACGTGGGAGACTTGGAAGAAGCTCCTGGCTTTGGCCTGGCCCAGCCTTGGCCATTGTGGCCACCTGAGGTACGAACCAGTGAATGAAGACCTCTCTCTCCCTCTCTCTCTGTGTAACTCTTTCAAACAAACAATTAAATCTTGAGGAGAGAGGAGAGAAAGAAAATGATGAGCCCTTGGAATACTAGCAGTGCCCAGTGTAAAATTAAAGTGTATCTTGTCCGCTAAACATCTCTTTAAAACTCAACTCGTAGAAACTAAGGTTTGAACAGTACTTTCGGGACATCTCTCTGGCTCTTCAAGTCCGTTTCTTAGACGCTTAGTCATACTTTGGGTCTTTCTCTGGAGCAGTTATTTTCATAGAAATAAAATTAACACATAAGTTCTCGCAGCACCCGTCCCTGATTGTCACAGGTGTGACTGCGTTCGCAAGGGTAAGGAAACTGGCGGCATCAATGTCCTTCCTGGAGAACCACACTCAGCCGGCAGCTCCCGTGGGCATGCACCAGGGCCAGTCCTGCCACCCTCCCTGGGGACACCAGGCCAGTCCTGCCACCCTCCCTGGGGACACCAGGGCCAGTCCTGCCGCCCTCCCCCAGGGACAGCAGGGCCAGTCCTGCCACCCTCACCAGGGGACACCAGGGCCAGTCCTGCCACCCTCACCCAGGGGACACCCCCCAGGGACACCAGGGCCAGTCCCGCCGCCCTACCCCGGGGGATACCCCCCAGGGACACCAGGGCCAGTCCTGCCACCCTCCCCCAGGGACAGGAGCACCAGTCCTACCACCCTCACCTAGGGACACCAGGGCCTGTCCTGCCACCCTCACCAGGGGACACAAGCGCCCGTCCTGCCACCCTCCCTGGGGCACCCCAGGGCCAGTCTTGCCACCCTCCCTGGGGACACCAGGGCCAGTCCTGCCACCCTCACCAGGGGACACAAGCGCCCGTCCTGCCACCCTCCCCGGGGCACCCCAGGGCCAGTCCTGCCACCCTCCCCCAGGGCCAGCAGGGCCAGTCCTGCCACCCTCATCAGGGGACACGAGCGCCCGTCCTGCCACCCTCCCCGGGGCACCCCAGGGCCAGTCCTGCCGCCCTCCCGGGGACAGCCCGCGCTGGACGCCTCCCGCCCCCGCAGCGCCAGCAGAGGCCGCGGCGCAGGCCTTACCGGTGTGTGTGAGCATGTGCCTCTGCAGGGAGCTGGCCCAGGGGAAGACGCGCGGGCAGTGCGGGCAGGTGATCTTCTGCAGGCAGCTGGCGTACGAGTTGCGCTTGGCCCGCAGCAGCTTGTCCTCGGCGGGGCCGGCCTGCTCCTCGTCGCTGGGCCCCTGGGGGTCGCCGGGGGCCGCGGCCGCCTCCTCCGCAGCGTCGTCCTCTGCCGCCGCCGCGGTCTGCAGGAACGGACTGAACTTGTTGGTGTCCGTGGTGGCCAGCATCTTCTCGATGCTGGCGAACTCCCCGCTCGAGTCCAGGTCCACCGCGCCGCAGCCGGCGTGGGGCCGGGGTCTCAGCCCCCTCTTCCGGCCCCTCTTCTTGGACGAGCCCGCAGGCTCCTGCTCTGAGGGCGAGGCCGCCTCCGGGCTGCTGGCCGCCGGCAGCGGGTCGCCGGCCTCTCCGGGGCTCGTGGCACCATCAGTGGCGGCGGGGGCCACTGGGGCCGCGGGGGCCGGGGCGGCTTTGGGCGCGGAGCTCGCGGGGCCGTCGGCAGCCACGGCCGGGCCGCTGCCGGCGCCAGGCTCTGCCATCTTGGCTTTCAGCAGGGTCGGGGCCGAGGACACAGGACGAGATGATCTGGGCGATGGAGGCCAGCGGGGGCAGCTCTTCGGCCACGGGGGGCTTTGGCAAGAGGAGCGGGGGCTTGGGCCGCAGGGGTCGCAGCAGGGCGGGGCCGCTCAGGAGCGCAGGGCCGCCCAGCAGCGGAGAGCTGCTGACCAAGGCCGACGAGTAGATGGGCACGGCGAGCTGCACCGAAGCCTGCACCGGCTGCTGCGCGTGGGGCTCGGGGGCGCCGGCGGCCGCGGCACCTGCCGGGCTCTCCAGGGTCCCGCCGGGCCCCGGGGCTGCCGGCGGAAGGCCGGAGGGCGGGCAGGGCGAGTGCCGCTCGGCGCTGCTGGCCTCCTGCTCGGGCCGCTGGGGCTCGCTGGGGGCGGCCGCGTCCTTGTCGCCTTTGCGCAGGTGCTTGGGGATGGACAGGTCGATGGGTTCCATGGAGCAGTCGTAGGCGGCCAGCGAGGAGGGGCACAGGAAGGACACGTTCTCCTGCTTCACCTGCACCAGGGCCAGGCCCTTCTGGGAGAAGTCCAGGGGCTCGTTGAAGTCCACGGCGAAGCCGCTGACGGGTTCCAGCTTGATGGAGACGTGCGGCGGCGGCGGCTGGCTGGGACCCCCGTGCAGGTAGCCGTTCTGAGGCTCCAGGAAGGCGGCCAGGGGCTTGCGGTCGCCCTCGTCGCCGCGCGCAGAGGCTGCGGCGGCGGCGGCAGCGGGCGCCTCGGCGGGGCCCAGGCCGCCCCGGCCCCCGCCGTCGGCCGCCAGCACGTAGCTCTCGATGTCCTGCTCGGGCACGTGCAGGTGCTGCTTGAGGATGTGGTGGATGCAGTTGCGCTTGGCGGCGAAGGCGGCGCTGCACTCCTTGCACTCGAAGGGCTTGCGCGCCTTGGGGCAGCCGCCCAGGCCGCGGCCGCAGTGCGTGCGCATGTGGACGCGGAGCGCGCGGTAGTGCTTCAGGTCCTCGCCGCACAGCCGGCACACCGTGTCGGGCGCGCAGAAGGCGTCCACCAGCTCGGCCGCGCTGCTGCTCACGTACTCGATGTTCTTCTCGATGTCCTTGCGGGTGGCCTTGAGGTGCTTCTTGCGCAGGTGCCGCTCGCAGTTGGCCTTGACCGTGAAGGGGTAGTGGCAGATCTTGCAGATGTACGGCCGCTCGCCGCTGTGCGTGCGCAGGTGGCGGATGAGCGCGGCCTTGTCGGCGGCGATGTAGTCGCAGATGTTGCACTGGTAGGGCGAGATGCCCAGGTGGGAACGCACGTGCGCGCGCAGCACCCCCGAGAAGGCGAACACCTGGTTGCAGAAGCGGCACGGGTAGAGCACCTTGCGCATGGCGGGCGTCTTCTTGCCGCCGGGCCCCGTCATGATGGCCTTGAGGTCCCCTTCGGTGATCTCCTGCTTGATCTTGGGCTCCATGCTGAGGGGCAGCAGGGCCTCGATGATGCTGTCCTGCTCCAGCTGCGTCTTCATCTCGGGCTGGTCCAGCCGCAGCGGCGGCGGCTGCTGCAGGAACAGCTGCGTGGCCGCGCTCGGCTGGGCCGCGGACTTGGACTGCAGCAGGTGCGCGTTGGCGGCCGCCTCCACCGAGCCCTTGAGCAGCCTCAGGGGCGGCGGGGGGAGGCTGGGGCTGATGCAGCCGGGGGAGGCCTGTTGGGCGTTGATGAGAGGCGGGGGCGTGGACGTGGCCACGACGGTCCTGGGGGTGACCAGGGGCTTTGGCTTCAGAGGGGGCATGTGCTTGAATATGGCCTGCAGGGGCGCGGCAGGGGCCTTGGAGAGCGGGGGCAGGCTGATCTGCGGCGGGGCCGAGGCGGCCATCTTCAGGATCTGCTGGATGTCGGCCAGCTCGATGGCCGACTCCCCGGAGATGGGCTTCACCACGATGCTGCTGTCCGGCTGGACGATGAAGCCCTTCTGGAAGGGCTGCAGCGACAGGTGCTTCACGCCCTCCTTGGTGGCCGGGAGCACCGTGAGAGAACCGGCCAGGGCAGCAGCTTCGAAAGGAGCCAGGCTCAGCACGCTGGTGCAGGCGGGGTCCTGAGGTAGCGGGCACTTGAGCGCCTGCAGCTGGATGGCTTGGTTGTCGTCGGGCAGGGGCTCCTCGGCGGGGGCAGGCTGGCTGTCTTTGGTGTGCTGCAGGCCCAGCCAGGCCAGGAAGACCTTCTGGTCCAGGGCGGCGTCAGGCAGGGCCTCGGCCTGCAGCTTGTCCCGGCCCGGGTCGGCGGCGTGTGTCTGCTTGTGCAGGACGAGCGAGGAAAACATGGGGAAGGCCTTGTCGCAGGTGTCGCAGACGAAACGATGCTGCTCACTGATGCTCCTTCGCAGGTTCGTCTCGCACCAGGCCTGCGGGGAACGCGCCAGTGAAGGCAGAGGAACGAGAGGTGAGGATTCGGGAGAAGCGCAGAGGCACAAAAACCCCCAGGAAATTCAACCCCAAACGGGAGCCCGCCCGCCCCTCTCGATCCAGCAGCCCGGGGGTGCCCCAGGCTGCTCAGACTACCTGAGAAATGCGGGGGAACTTCCTGCAGGAGAAGTCGGTGAACCCCAGGTCGTGGAAGCCGGCGGGGATGGAGGGGTTGCTCTGGATGAAGGGCCGCCCCGTGGCGTCCCGAGGCAGCTGCTTGTGGACAAGCGCGTTGTGGCGCAGCAGGCCCCGATGCGTGCGGAAGGTGACGCAGCAGATGTCACATCTAGGAGGGACAAGGCAGGAGGCGGCGGCTCGGTCAGTCCCCACCTGCCCCTTAGCCTCGGGAAATACTCTGGGCTGCTTTCATGTCAATCAAACAAAATAAATAAAAGTAACGAGAATCCCGTCTGCTTACGGTTAACAACAACAACAAAACACAAACTTCTTTTCTTTAAGAAAAATGATATTCTACTACCTTCCATGCAGGCAACACAAGATGTTTCTAGGACCGGGCCACCTGAAGTCTGCACGTGAGGGGCAGACATGGGGAAGCCGAAGCCGCCACTGTGGCCCCGTGGCTGCACAGGTTCAAGTCCACAGAGGTGCGCATGCAGCGCCCCTGGCGTCTGATAAAGGCGGTCGTTAAACTCTCCAGTTGGGTTAGTGGCAAGTGACAGTGACTGGGTGGATTAGATTCTGACACCACGACCATGGTCAGGTCATCTGGAAGATTCCTGGAGCTCGCCGCTCGCCTGTGTCGGGCCCGGGGGAGGCAGCCTGCGCCTAGGTAAGCAGGTGGGCATCACTACCCTTATCTCAGAGGTGAACACTGAGGCTCAGGTTTGTGAGGGACGCGACTGGGCCACACACTAGCTAGAGGACACGCGGGCAGGTGTGAGCACCCAAGCTCCTTCTCCCACTGGCTGTCTCCCCATCGTTGAGACCACCAAGCACTGGGTCACAGCCGGTTAAGCCTCTGTCCGCACCCTGCATGAGCACTGGTTCCAGTCCTGGCTGCTCCACTTCCAACCCAGCTCCCTGCTAACGCATCTGGGAAAGCAGCAGGAGACGGCCCAAGTGCTTGGGCCCCTGCACCCACATGGGAGATGCGGAAGAAGCTCCTGGCTCCTACCTGGCCCGGCTTTGACCATTTCGACCATCTGGGGAGTGAACCAGCAGAAGGAAAATCTCTTTCCCTATCTGTGACTCGCCTCTTAAATAAATAAATCTTTCTTTCATTTTTTTTTTTTTGACAGGCAGAGTGGACAGTGAGAGAGAGAGACAGAGAGAAAGGTCTTCCTTTTGCCGTTGGTTCACCCTCCAATGGCCGCCGTGGCCAGCACGCTGCGGCCGGCGCACCACGCTGATCCGATGGCAGGAGCCAGGTACTTATCCTGGTCTCCCATGGGGTGCAGGGCCCAAGTACTCGGGCCATCCTCCACTGCACTCTCTGGCCACAGCAGAGAGCTGGCCTGGAAGAGGGGCAACCAGGACAGAATCCTGCGCCCCGACCGGGACTAGAACCCGGTGTGCCGGTGCCACAGGCGGAGGATTAGCCTACTGAGCCACGGCGCCGGCCTAAATAAATAAATCTAAAAAAAAGAAAACCACGACCCTCACTTCAGAGCTGGTCTTCACACCCTTAATGCTTCGGGCCCCAGAGAGGCGCTGTCTGATGAGACCCTGCCCACCTGTACCACTGTTACCTTCTGGGTCTCCACCAAGAACCCAGTTAAAGATGACACCGTAGTCTGTGTCATCAACATCCTCCACACACACACACATCAAACACCGGCTCCACGAGAGGCGCACGTGGCTCTTTCAACTTGAAGTCAGGTTTCCTCCGTGCCCTCAGCCCCATCAAGGGCTCACGGCGTCGGGCAGTGCAGACGTGCCAGGCCCCCACGGTGGCAGACACTCGGGGGACAGCACCATTCTGCCCGCTGACACACACAGATGCTCCTGACCCTCTCAGAACCTCCAAGGCAGCGCCTGCGTCACTGCCCCACCGGGGTCCACACTGCACACTTCTGCACCGGAAGTGTTCCCGTCCTTTGTGAAGCACTGGAAGAAATGAGGGCCAGGTGCGTGTGGTCCCGCTGGCAGTACCGGGTGGGCACGGGCCTCCCCTCTGCTCGCTGAACCCCAGGGCATCTCACCAAGCAAGATGCCAGTCAGCCATCCAGCCACTGCCAGCCACTGGGGTTCCCTCGGGTGCTCACAGCACAGTGCTCCTTCTAAGTGGTCAAGGCCCTAGGGTGGGCCCAGGGGACGTGGTTTCCTTGCCTCTCCCTGGCTCCGCCCCCTGCCATCCCTCGCAGGTGCCGCACGTTGTAGAGGTTCCAACACACAGGAACATTCTTTGCCAAGTCCCTGGAGGGCCACGTCACAGTCTAGGAGACAGAGTTAAGTAGGGAAGCAGCGTGGACGCAGCCCCTCTGGGCGAGGCTCCTAGCCCAGCTGGCAGGTGTCCACCTCTGAACGGCACGTGCAGAGGGGACGGCGCCCTTCCACCTCCCTGGCCTCAGGTCTCCCGGGCTCAAGCTCGGCTGCACATCCCCTGTGGTCCTCCACCCAGCCCCTGCCTTGTCCCCAGCCAGCGGAGCACTCGCTCTTGGACTGACAGGCCCACAGAAACGTCTGAACTGGGGAAATTTAACTCTGACCAGATATTTCGCAGTATTAAGAAATCACTGTTAATGTTTTGGACAAACTTCCAGAGCCCTCTCCTTTCAGAGACATGTAATGAATATGCGAAGCCTGGCATCTGGGACTAGTTTCGGAGCCATCTGGGTGAGGGGAGAGGTGAGACCACGCTGTGAGCTGATCATTCTTCAAACTGGGTGAGGGAACATGGGGTTCGCCACTCTGCTCTCTCTGCTTTTGTTAGCATCTGAATGTCCCTTAATCCATCTAAAGGGGAGAACTACAGAAATTCTTACTGCTGGGCCAGCGCTGTGGCACAGTAGGCTAAGCCTCTGCCTGTGGCACTGGCATCCTACATGGGTGCCGGTTCATGTCCTGGCTACTCCTCGGATCCTGATCCACTCACTGTCTGGGAAGGCAGTGGAGGATGGCCCAAGTGCTTGGGCTCCTGCACCCACGTGGAAGATGGGGAAGGAGTTCCTGGCTTCTGGCTTGGGATCAGCCCAGCTCCAGCTGTTGTGGCCATCTGGGGGTGAACCTGCGGATGGAAGACTTCCAGCACCTGCAGGGCCGGCATCCCATATGGGCGCCGATTTGAGTCCCAGCTGTTCCACTTCTGATCCAGCCCTCTGCTATGTGCTGGGAAAGCAGTAGAAGATGGCCCAAATGTTTGGGCCCTTGTACTCATGTGGGAGACCTGGAAGAAGCTCTGGGCTCCTGGCTTCTGACGGATGCAGCTCCGGCCATTGTGGCCACATGGGGAGTGACCCAGTGGATGGAAGACCTTTCTCTCTTCCTCCCTCCGTCCCTCTCCCTCCCTCCCTCTCTCCCTCTCTCTCTCCGCCTCTCTGTAACTCTCCCTTTCAAATAAATAAATAAATTTAACAAGATTTGGCTAACAAGAGTGGGCCGATATTTTGCCTCATTCCCCAAGTTTCAAAACCAGCCAAAGCACCATTTGCAGCAGGTACATGTGGAATGCGGGGCTCAACTGATTAAAAAAAAACAACTGCAGAAGCGCCCACAGAATCCCCCTGTGGCAAGGCACACTCACGGCACCATCAGAGCCTCTGGGTAGGGGGTGGGGTGGGCCAGGGTCCCGAGGGAGCCATCAAGTGCGGGGCTCAGGAAGGCTCACAGATGTGGGATTTATACCTCCAGCACCATCTGGTTTGGTACTTTATGAACTGGAAGCAGCTCAGGGGAGCCGCGGGATGCGGCAGCTGCACTCTGCCTTCCCCGAGAGGCGAGACTACGAGGAAGGGGAGGGAGGAGAGACTCACACAAGAGCGCAGGCCATGCGACCTGCTCCCCCAGGGAACCTGCAGATGTCTCGCACCTGTGGGCCACAGTACCCCCTGTGCCTGTCCTAATGAGAGCTGGCTACGCATGTGCCCTGCAGAACACCGCCAGCCCATTTCCACCAGCACTGGGCCTCACTCCTGTTCCAGACAACAAGCCAGCGAGATGAGCAGAAGCGGCGGGCGTCAAGGCGCCTGCCACCCTCCGGCCACAGCCGACAGCTCAGCACTTACTCCCAGCACACCTCTGCCTGTGACGTCGGCTCGTCACTCCAAACCCGCCAGACAGAGGGTCCGGTCACTAATTCACATCTTACTCTGATGTAAAGACATACACATAATGACACGGCTGAAACGTATATAATAACAAAGTAAATAAAACAGCAGGAACATAAAACAAGGATCCTCCTCATGTACAGGGACTGAGTTTGCAAACCTGCCTACGTGCTGAGCCTTGTGAGTAAGCCCTAAGCAGTCCTCGTGGTGTTTCACGGTCACTCGCAGACCTGCAGAGCGCCGGCAAATCGGGGCTGCCCAGCACACGTCCCCGGCCAACGTGAGACGGGGCAACGTCTGCCTCCTTGTTTCCGTTCTCCTACTCCACCTCGGCTGGTGGTTTCGCTGTTTAAAGCCACCGAGTGCCGTGCTGAGTGCTGTCTGCGGTCCCTCAGGCCAGGAAGGCCGGCACGCGCCGGACCCAGGAAACACCTGTGTCTGATAAGCTTCGAGGCGGAGAGCTGTGGACCGCGAGCCCATGGTTAACGGGTCAACCGGAGACAGTCAGTAGGGTGCCCTTCATCAGAATCACGTGCAAGGCAAGGTTCTGCGTTGATCGCGTCACAGTCACGTGACCAGAGGTTGGCAGGAACTCAACCCCTTGTATGCTGCAGGCTCACAGCTTCTGGGTCTGCTAGCTCTAGGTTCAAGGTGACTTCATGGAGGGAGCTGCACTGCTGGGAATGACAGGATGGCACGGACGCTCAGCAGCCTTCGCCTCTCTGTGGAGAGCCAAGGGCGCGCGGTCCAGACCCGGGGCCACCGTCTCCGTGAGTGCAGAAATCTCCCTCATGGTACAACACCTTTGATCTCCAGTTTTAAATTTTAAAAACGGAGCAAGAACTCAGATACTTGCAACCCTACATTTTTGCAATGCTCAACGATTCACAGGTGTTCTGCCTAACCTAGACTCGACAGCAATTAAAAAAAGACTTTAGGCCGGCGCCGCAGCTCACTAGGCTAACCCTCCGCCTTGCAGCGCCGGCACACCGGGTTCTAGTCCTGGTCGGGGCGCCGGATTCTGTCCCGGATGCCCCTCTTCCAGGCCAGCTCTCTGCTA